AATGGTGCACAAGAATAGAACACATAATATAATACACAAGTACACCACAAAGCATGGATTGATGTAGAGTTGATGCAGAAAACAGTCCAGTAGAAAAATGTAAGCTCCTTCCAGTTTCAGTAAACTCAATAAATGTAATAACGTGTATTAAGTTCAAACACGAACTGTTGTAGCATGACAAAAATAGTTCCACCAGGTATTACCACAGAGAAACAGTGACAGTGCGTCAAGTATATCTCCACCAGTAGAACCTACAGAATTACCCAGAGTGTCAGCCACAAGAAAATGTACACAAAGATGCCAAGTATACTACTGCACCAACTAAAGTCCAGCAAACACAATAACCACCAATATGCTTAAAGTGGTACGGCGTTAACACAGTGTGCAGTCCAATTAGTAGTATACAGTCCCACTAGTCACAGTAAAGTTCAGAAGAAAGTGAAAAAGAATTTCTTCTTAAGTGACATTCGTTCTGTTGATGTGCAATTAAGACCACAAGGTGCAAGACCAAAAGTGAATAGCCAGGAAACTATCATAATTTACAATCCGCTGCAGTCGAATTTTAAACAAACCACAAGATCCCTAAGTTTAATTAGGACCGATTGAAATAAGCATGGAATTTTTCATTACTTATTCTGTGACGAAACTGAATTTTAGTCTTTTAAATTGAGATACCTAAATAAAAGGCGGCGGAGGAAAATTTCGACCCTGACACCCACACTGTGCCACTGATAGCACTCATTTTTTCAAAACACAAGTAGTTTACATTATTAGATAAACAAGAAAGTACAAAATTAGATAATGTAATCGTAATTTTTCATGCACTGTGACAATCTGGCTATAACAAGACAGGAACTTGGCATCTGTAAGATGATTATTCTTTTGACGACGAAACACAAGCGGCAAAGGGTTTGAAAAATTATTAATAAATTTTTAATAATATTCAAATGAAAACAGTGAAAACGGTGTGTTAAATCATTCTGAAAAAATGAAAGTAATTACTCAAAAAAACAGAACGTTTCATGCAGAAAAAAAATAACTTTATAATTCAAAAATAAAAAATATACTGTCTGGAAAATTAAATAAAAAGTAGATGCTTGAGTAAAATAATGAAAGAATTTTACACCAAGCTGGCAAACTTCAGTCTACTCTTATGAAAAATTAAATGAATTAGTTATTAATTACAATTAGCCAGTATATGAATTAAAATAATATCAAATATATTTAGCAAAACAACTGTAATTGTTTCAATACATCCCGATAATAATGATTTTCCAACTATTTCCCAAATAGATTCAATGATATTATAATAAAAAAGAAATTAATTAAAATGAGTGATTACAAATTTGTCATTAAAAAAGTCAAAATTGTGGGTGAAATAAGATTGGAAAATATCGCCGAATTTAATGATTAATATATCTTTTATTACTTAATTTTGTTTGGTTTCAAGTTGGTTTCAATTCGAAGATATTTTGACTTGTAATTGTATGGAAATTGACTGTTTGTAAAAAATGTTGAAGCTTTAATACTTTGTAGTATTTGGCAATGTAATTTTTACTAATTTCATAACATAAGCTTTTTTTTGTGTGAAATATTTAGTGTGAATTTCCTATCGAAAATTCACTGTAAATGGTCAGAAATGAAAATATTTTGTTGATTGTGAGTAAAGAATGTGTGTCCATGTGATACACATTCCACTACTGAATATAAAGAGAAATTATTATTTTATAATTGTGTAAAAGTATTTAAAATATGAAAAAAAACCAGAAAGATTCCCTGTTTGTCTTTATTTTCATGAAATGTGTTGAATAAAATAGTTAGAAGATGTGGCTGTATTTTGATAAAAAGAGCATTCCTTGCAAGTACAGTCGATACCCCTGTAAGACGGTAGATACGTTCCGTTCTTTATGAATCAATTTTGTAGGAATCACAGCCAATCACAGCCTGACACGTGTGAAGTTTACGGACTATGGCTGTTTGAAAGGTTTTCTTCCATAAAATTAATCGATTCTAGACTAATCCGATTCAACATTTCCAAAATACGTATATATTTTTTGGAAATATTCCGTATAAACTACGCTATAAACAAAACATTGTAGGATTACTTACCGAGTGTGCACCATTCGACATCGCCGTTGCTCAAGCTTGTTTTCATCGCGATATCTGATGTTATTTTTCTGCGAAAACTTCGTTGAACATTGGAGACA